AGCTAGATGGCTGCTTGTTTACCTTCAAGCCTTTAAGACCCCAGACGCTATACTTTTTGATAGCTGGGCACCAGCAGCTTTCTTCACCACATTTATTTATGGATCCATTTGTTAGATGCTAATTTTTAAATGATCTCTCTAGTTAAGACCTTAAAACAGTAAAAAAACAAAACAAACAAACGACTCTAACCATCACCTTCTGTCAATTTATCTCACTGTGACTGTGCTGCTGGGAACTATGCCACTAGTATTTTGATGCACAGGTTTCAGCAGAGCGTCCTGTCTAAGACAGACTAGAAAGAAAACCCTGTGTATCACAACAGAGTCCTATTCAATATAGTGCTGCAGGTGAGCCTTCGAGACGGGAAGGATCAGGTCACTTTTGTTCTGTTCTGGGTGGTTTGTTCTGATACCCAGAGTGGGGGTATCAGGTCCCTTTCACACCCAGATCTTGAATATGTGACTTCACCAAAACTAACAAGGACAATTGGACTTTAACCCTTTGTCCCCTCTTCATGGCGCAGGCGTTGCACTAATTTCCCCCCCAAAACCCAAAGAAAAATGTCCTGGACCCTCCACTCATTCACCCACCACACCACACCACCACTCAGGCCGACCTGAGACCGGGGCAGTAAGGCTTAACCAGGTGTTCACCACACTGGCGCCTGCCACTAAGGTCCCGTGGCTTTGAGAGGGGAGCACTCTACAGCTCGCTCTAAAGAGGGCAGCACACGTGCATGAAGGAAGTTGATGAGGGGCAGAGAACGCCATCTTGAGAAGCTGCACGGCTCACTGGGGTAAGCAGTGACCAGGAAAGGGCTAGGCTTCCGGTGAAGAATCGGCTTTGCCATTAGTTTGGTCAAATGACTAGACCAGTCAGATCCTCTAGGGCAGGGGTTCTCATGCTGCGACCCTTTTATACAGTTCCTCATGTTGTGGTAACCCCCGCCCCCCAACGACAATTTTTTTCGGTCGCTACTTCATCACGGTCATTTTGATAGTTATGACTTGGACGACCCCTGTGAAAGGATTGTTCGACCCTCAAAGGGGTCGTGACCCACAAGTTGAGAACCGCTGCTCTATGGGCTTTATTTAGTTCCTTCACCTGCCAAACAAAGGCAAAGAAATCACTCAGAGGAACAAAATCAAAACCTCTGCAAAGTTCAACATAAACACCTGTCGACACTACATCAGTTGAAGCCAACCGATACGGGTCACGGGGGCCACCCAGGAGGAGCTGGCTGGCCTTAGGAAAGGAGGCCTTCCTTGTGGCCAGCATCTCAGAAAAGTGAACTCTTAAAAAGGAACACAGGCCAATGTAACAACGATGAAAAATACAACTTTCCTCTAGTTCCTAAATGTTTCCTCCCCGCTCCCACTACCATGACTCAAATTCGACCTTGCAAATCTGGCTAGACCAGAGGATGTACACTGGTACAGATAGGAACTGAAAATACAGGGAATCCAGAGAGGATGAGCCCTACAGGACCAGTGGTGTGAGTGGCAAAACAGGGAGGGTAGAGGGAGAGTGGGTAGGAAAGAGGGAACCGATTACAAGGAACTATATGTGACCTCCTCCATGGGGGACGGACAACAGAAAAGTGGGTGATGGGAGACGTCGGACAGGGAAAGATATGATAAAATAACAATTTATAAACTATCAAGGGTTCATGAGGGAAGGGGGAGTGGGGAGGGAGGGGAAAAATGAGGACCTAATGTCCGGGGTTTAAGTGGAGAGAAAATGTTTTGAGAATGATGTACAAATGCGCTTTACACAATTGATGTGTGTATGGATTGAGATAACAGTTGTTTATGAGCCCCTAACAAAATGTTAAAAAAAATAAAAAATTAAAAACAAAAAAGGAACACAGGTGAGTCACTACAAAGCAACACAGCACAGCTGCTAGGACAACTGAGCAGAGGACACTCTTGACAGGTCAGCACTGATGGACTGACCTCTTTAATCACTACTGCTAAACTTGGAAGCACTCAGAAGACCGCTACTCACTGCCACGCGTCCATGCTGACTCACAGCGACCGTCCCTCGACTCCTTCAAATGCGTGAGATGTCACAGGAGCTCCGTTGTCCTTGAGAGTCGCAGAACTGTGGGTCTCAGGCCATGTCTTTACAGAGGACTCAAACTCGCTGCACTGAGTCCATGCCGACTCATAACCACCCTTACAGGACAGGGTAGAACTGCCCCTGTGAGTTTCTGGGACTAGAAGTGTTTATAGGAGGAGAGAGCCCTGTCTTTCTCCAGCAGTGTCTGGTCTTTCTCCCGTGGAGCAACTGATGGTTTCTAAGACAACTGCAGCCCAACTCATAACCACCGTAGCCCTTCTCCGCAGGAGCAGGGTGTCATCGGCAAGATTCTAGAGAAGTGAATGCAGTGCCACCTCCACCTGTTGACAACTGCCTTCCTGGAGCAAGTCCCTTCCCAGGTTGACCTTTAGTGAGCAAGAATACAGGGTCTAGCCCTTGTACCAGACAGTTACTTTAAATAACTCAATAACAAGTCATAAATGATTTCAGGTAGACAGTCTAGAAAATGGAAGTCAGTGGGTCTTTTCTCTGTTTTTCACCTTAAAGTTTTCTCATGTGATTTCCTTATTTTACCACTTCAATTGAGAGTCTATACATTTCCTGAGACTCAGTGAAGAAATAACAAGTGGTCCCTGAGAACACCCTCCGTCTATCCCAGATCATTGTTAAGTCTGCAGGCTTTGGATGTCAGGGTCTGAAGTTCCAGGTCCAGGTTACAATGTCAGGGTGCTAGGCTTTTCTTTAGGAAGAGGTGAGGAGCAACGGAAAGAAGAAGGACCACCTTCTTTCTACTTGAAGTGTCTCAGGAAGATGAAAGGGAAACCATCGCTTCCCCAGGCCGTCTTCTCCTCTCTGGACGACAGAAATTGGTCCCCAACTTGTGGCTTGTCCAGTGTTGGCGGTTCCCAGCAGCACCTCTACCTCTGTGTAGCTTCCAAGGAAGGCCAGGCTGCCTCTGATCCCAAGGTTGCTACGCTAAAATGTTCCAAACCCACTTTCTCTCAAGTATCATTCAACCATCCAAAGTCAAAAGATGCTATGAACTCTCCTAGCCTGAATGACTCTAGGCTCATAAGTTACACATGATTTTTAATGAGGAGGTTGTTCTTGCAATGGGACAAGTGCCTCCACTAAGCTCAGCCCGCTAACGAATAGGGCCTGGCCCTCAGCAAATCTGAAGAACTCTATTCTGTATCTCAAAGAAACCTGACTGAGCCAGTTTCTGCTGGCTGCCCCCTTAGGACTGTGCCATTCTCTCCACCTACCCAGTGCTGGCCTTTGTGGGGCAGCAGCTGCAGGCAGCTGAAGGTGAACAAGAAGAAGAACAGGGACTTCTTGTTCCCATTTGTTTGGAAAAGGAGGAGAGATGCCCGAATGGGCTGCTTTTTCTGAGAAGATAGCCAGCATCAGAGAAGTGGTACAGACTGAGATGACAAAGAAAAATCTTTTCATCCAATTTTCCACCCATAACTTTTCTAAGCCAGAGTAATTACGCATTTTACAGAAGTCGGCAA